TTTTATTTATTTGAGAGAGAGCGAGCACATGCGTGCATGAGCAGGGGGGAGGGGAGATGGGAGAGGGCAAAGCTGGCACCCAACTGGGAGCCCAATGTGGGATTCCATCCTAGGATCCATTCCAGGACCCTGGGATCACGACCCAAGCCAAAGGCAGCCAGCCACTCAAACAACTGAGCCACCAGGCACCCCAGGAAGTACGTTTTTGAGTGGGTCATGATCTGAGAGGTTGAGTTGTCTTTCCAGGCAACTGAAAAGGCATGACCAAAAAGGAGGAGGCAAGCAAGTCCAGGTGGGTGAGTGAACCAGTTTGGCAGGAGAAGTCATTAGTTGGATGGGGTGAGGGTGGAAATAGCAGACTGATTGAAGCCAAATTGTGGCAGGTCTTGAATAAGAATCTATCAGAATTGGAACTCTCATGCTCAAGGGAGACTCACTGAATTTTGAGCAAGTAAGTGCTATGATTGAATTTAAATTTTAAGAAAATTAATTTGGTTCTATTTTAAAGGCAAAGCCACAGAATTTAAGAGACCATTTAGCTCAAGCCCTTAGTCTCACAGATGAAATACAGAGAGATTAAGAGACTTTTCCTTTCTTTTTAAAAAGATTTTATTTATTTATTTAACAGAGAATGCCAGAGAGCAAAAGCAGGGGGAACAGCAGAGGGAGAGGGAGAAGAAGCAGGCTCCCCACTGAGCAGGGCTCCATCCCAGGCGCAGGGAGCCAGATGTGCCCTGAGATCATGACCTGAGCTGAAGGCAGACGCTTAATCAACCAAGAAACCCAGGCGCCCTGAGATTATAAGACTTCTCTAAGAGAGAACCCTTATTTCTTGACTACTAATGGAATTTACCTTCTACAATGTCTAAAATTTTAAAATATGCCTGACTCACAGCCCTCTTTGGGAATAGGTACTTTATGGAAGGCGGCTGTCTAATGAGAAAAGAAGGTTGTATGTGAGGGTGTGTGAGGATTTGTGAGGTGCTTGGTCTGGGACTCTGGGACTGAAACAAGGAGGATCCAGGTCAAAGTTGGTTAGGTAAAAAGAAAAGAAAGGGCAATTCCAGCAGTGTGACCTAGTAGAGAGAAAACTGGATGACTAATTAGAAGATCTGGATTCTAGTCCTGGTTATCTGTGGTTATGGGAGAAGACACATTTTTATTTGTCACATCTCTTCCAAGGTTCAAATAAATGTTTTTAGCTGATCATTTGGAACTTGCAATGTATTTCCCAAAGAAGCAGTGTTATAAAACAGAGGTTAGTTTCTCAGATGAACCTCCAGGAATCAATAAAAATTCCACCAGAACTGAAATTAATGCATAATTACAAAGAGAAATACAAATATTTTTTGCAGCATTAATGAATTAGCAAAACAGATTAGCCAAACTAATTATTGTGGGGTTTTTAAAATGGAAAACATTTAATTAGGAGAGGATATGGAACTGAAGGCTGTGGCGAATATGAAAGAGAATTACTCCTCGGCACTTTCAAGGTAATCTGAGGCTAATGGCAAGGCTCACAAATGGAAAAGAGGCAGGAGAGAGAAAGGGAAAAAGAAAGTTTGAGCTGTATGTATTTCTAAGGAAGCCAATACAAACAGTGTTTCAGGGGTGGAAGAATGGGCCAAGCTGGAAAAAGCCAGAGAGAGATAGAGATACCATTCTGAAATTAAGGGAGAAATGAAAGAAGGCCAGTGACCAACATACAGGTACAGAGGTCCTAATCCACACTCCAGGATATTAGGCCAAAAGTGGGTCCAAGAAATAAATCTGAGCTAGTGAAGTCCCAAGGGAATGGTGGGACAAATACTCAAGACAGGGTCAAAGACTCAGGCTATCAACTCCAAATGTGAGGCTCTATCTGGAGTCCAAATTCAGGGAACTCTGAGGCCACACTTTGAGCCAGACCAGAGACATACTAAGACTCCTTAGCTCTGGGGCCAGAACTCGTTTCAGACTGTTGGTGAAAGCTGGGGTTGGGGGAGAGCACAGCGAGGGGAGGAACCAAGCAAAAAACTACAGACACACAACTAGAGTTAGAGAAGGACAGAAAGAAACAGGTCTTATTATTTTTAAAGATTTATTTTATTTGACATAGAGAGAGACAACACAAGCAGTGGAGTGGGAGAGGGAGGAGAAGCAGGCTTCCCACTGAGCTGGGAGCCCCAAGTAGGGCTCAATCCCAGGGTCCTGGGATCACTACTACAGCAGACGGCAGACACTTAAGGACTGAGCCACCCAGGCGCCCAAAGGTGTTAAAGAGCAGGGAGGGAGGGATGGAGGGAGGGAGGAAGAGACCGGTCTGGAGTTGGTGTGCCGATCCATATGAGCTCAGACCGGATCCTCAGAAGGAAAAAAGGCGGTGCAGGGGGAAATAACGCAGAAGAAGGAAAAGGTGCTCAGAGAGATAGACGACTCTCTAACCTCCACCAGGGGGCACCTCCAGTTCCAGGACAGTTTTGTTGATTAACAGGACTGGCCAGTGGTGTGGGAGAGGGAAGAGGACAATAGAATAGCCTTCCAGCTAAGGGGCGGGGAGGGTGGGGGGGGGGGGTTGTAACCAGTACTCAAACTTATTGGAGTAACCACATCTTCTCCCCTTTCTGCTTCCTGGTGCTGTTCACATTCTAGGTACTATTATTACTTGGCTGGCTGGCAGGGACAATCGAGAGGCAAGGTAAAAAAAGGTTAAATAACGATAAAAGATACAGGCAAAAATGAGAAGACAGAGGGAGAACTAGGAAAAAGAAACTGGAGAAAGAACAGTCAGGATATAATGGATTAGAAACGAACACGAAGACGGTAGCTGTTTTTAAAAAGAGAGAGGGAAAAGTCAAACTGACCTGTGAGGAAATGTAGAAAGACAGGAAGAGAAAGTCCTGAAAACAGCTAATTCAGTTTATGTGATTAATTCCACAGTGGCTTGTCACCCCTTTCACATCTCATCTATTAATAGGATATCTACAGAAGAGCTGTGCTTTATAAACACACAAAACTGGAGCCTTTGCTCTTTGGGAGCATTTAGATATATGTTCATTTTTGTCAAAGATGAAAGAAAGCATGTGGTAGAATTGGAGGATGAATTTCAAATCACTAAATAGTTCCAGGTAATAAAGAACAAAACTGCATAACTTTGGGGCCCGTTTCCAAGCCAGGAGGGGACAGTGGGGGAGCCAGTGTTAGAAGTATTTTGACTCATGAAAGATACATTTAAATATACTTTAAAAATTTGGCTTTTCTTTTCCCTTAAATGCTGCTTTATGAAAACACAACAGGTTATTAAAATGACCAGAATAAAGTGTGTGTGGGGGGGGGTGTTCCAGACAGCCCACTCCAAAATCTATTACATAAATCCGCTCATCATTTTTCTCCAGATTTTGCACTGCTCAGGGTACAAGAGGATCTTTGGTTTAGCCACTGGACACTTTATAACTGTGCCTGTCACTTAGTAAGTACTTGAGTACTTTAGGGGAAGCGTCAGGGGTAGTGTTTACTAACCCAGAGGCAGATACAGAACCCAGCTAAGGCCCTCAAAGATTGAGAAGTACCCATGACTAAAAACGTTAACTGCAATGACCAGTACAAGTCTCTGGGCATTCACTGTCGTTTTTCCACACTGCTCGTCTGGTTTTGAGGTGTTTTATTCTTCCTTCGGACTTAGCAGAATTGTAACGTACTACAGAATTTAATATTTCTAAAGCACACACCTCAACACTCCTCTCCCAGAGCACATTCCCTCAGCCCGGGCGTGCAGATCTCCACCCCTCCCAGAGTACACTCCTCAGACCATCTCCCGTTTCCCATCCCCCCCCAGCTTTCTAACTACATTGTGCGCACTCTTCCAGGCAGCTTTTCTGCAGCCAGGGCAGTTGCAGGGCTCCGAGCCCGTCTTCTCTGGGGCGATCACACGTGTCCATTCCCTGGGGTGGGTGGGGGGGGGTGTCGCTCTTCGCGCAAGGCTGCTGATTGGTGCCTCCCCCTACCCCACCCTTCCCGCCGCGCTCCAGCCTCCATCCTACTTGGTTCCAGCTTAACCAGCCCCACCACCTTCTTTCCTTGGAGAGAAGAGCCACTTTAGAGCTCCTTGGAACACCGTTCTTGGATGGAATAAAAGTGCTTGAGAACAGGTGGAAATCACTTTATCTCACCAGGCCTCACATTTCTGGGGGCCACAACCCACTGGTTCTCCAGTGATACTCTCAGCACCAATAATAACTGAACTCTCACACGTGCGTGTTTCGGGATCTAGCCCCTACCGAAAGCACCACCCAGCGGGCCCTTTAAAAGGACGCGACCACTAAGGCCAAGTTGGGGGTGGGAGAGACCCTTATTGTCCTCATTGGTCCAAGTCAGTAAACTCCTCAGTCCCAAACACCTGGAAAGCGGAGTTAGTCCCATGGCAGTTGATTGGGGGGTACTTCGCTCCCTTCAAGCCACACTCCTCTTCTTTCTTGGGGCGCTCAGTTCCCTCTCCCCTCCCCCTCTCTTCCAATTGCAGCTGTCCGGACTGGGGGTGGGGAGCGGGGGCGGGGGTTGTTGTTGTGGTGAGGGCAGCCCCGCCCCCTCCTCGTGGGCGGCCCCTCCCCCAGGCCCCCTGTTCGGCCCCCCCCCCCCCCGCCCCCCCAGCCCCATCTGTTTTCCCCAGCGGTGAGATGATTATATTGTATGGTACTGGGGGCGGCCGTAGCCGCAGCCGCAGGATGGGTCGCGCGCGCGGACCCCGTCGGCAGCCGGAGCAGCAGACGCCTCAGTAACTCGGGCCCCCGAGCCACCGCCCCCCGCCCGGGTCGCCCGCCCTCAGCTCATGCACTCGCCGAGCGGCGGCAGCAGCAGGAGTAACAGCCGCCGCCGCCGCCACCCCCGCCCGAGAAGCTGAGGCGCTGAGGCGCTGCGCCGCGGCGGGAGTCCGAGGCGGGCGGGCGAGCGGTGCGCGGGCAGCGTGGGGCCGCCGAGGCGCGCTTGGGGTTCGGGGCCGCCGCCGCCACCGCCGCGCCTGGGAGATGTGCCCGGAGGAGGGCGGCGCGGCCGGGCTGGGCGAGCTCCGCTCCTGGTGGGAAGTCCCGGCCATCGCGCACTTCTGCTCGCTCTTTCGCACCGCGTTCCGCCTGCCCGACTTTGAGATCGAGGTGAGTGGCCGCGAGGAGCGGGCGAGGTGGCGCACCCCGCGCCCCTTTCTCCCCAGTCCCCCTCGGGAGTCCGGGAGCACCGTGCGGGAGGGAGCGGGGGGCACGCGGAGACTTTGGCCGGTAGTCCGCAGCCAGGGGAAGGGCTCGGAGGTGGGGGCACGAGGCACTCAAGGGCCGGAGCGCGGGCGGGGGCCGCGCCGGGCTCCGCAGGGGACGCCAAGTGCCGGCGTCCGGGCTCGGGACGTTAGCTCGTGGCCGCCGTGCCCACCCGCGCCTTCTGGGGCGAGGCGAAGCGGGCGGCGGGAGGGCGGGGGGAGAGTGCGCTTTTGTACGGGTGGGACCGGGCCGGCTCTCCCGGGACTTCTCGGGCCGGAGGCTGAGTGTGTGGGGAGAGTGCGTGCGCGCGCTCCCTGCCCGGTGCCATTGAAGCGACGAGCCAGCTGCTCCGGGCGGGGACGGGGTGCGGGCTGGATTAACTCGGACCGGGCCGGGAGGCTGCCTGCGGCCGGTTGGGGGAGGGGTCTGTCGTGCCGTGGGGAGGCTCGCCCCCACTTCGGCGGGCGCGTGGAGGGGGAATCGGACTTTGCAGACTGCCGGAGGCCCGCGACTCTCGGGGGCGCTTTGGGTTAACTTCGGGCCGGCGGTGATGGGGGCCTGGGCTCGGGGGCGCGCTCTCCTCCGGGGAGCCGCCCGGCGCTCAGCCCTTGCTCGGGGCTCCGAGGCTGCGGAGGGAAAGTTTAGGACTCCGTTATTCTTTAATAGCGCCTTTCCTCGGAACATACAGCCCTCTTTATGCGGGGACCTCGGGAGCTCTTTGAGTTGATTTCGCCACCATTATCCCTCCGGGCAGGCGTGTTGTAAAGGGATGGCTTTTCTGGCCAGGCCGAAGGTGCTTTCAAACCCGGGGCTTTGTGATAACCGGACTAAAATCAGGGGGTCCTAGTAGCAGGGATGGTGGCGGGAGTGTGAGGAATGGAATGTACACGACGGCCCGGACGAGTACCCAGCCCCTACAAGCATCCGTCCTCCTTTCTTTTATTTTTATTTTTGGAAGGGGGTATGAAATATTTGATTGGTTGGCAGGTTGAATTGCTTGCCCTCCTATGGCAATGTATATGTAGTGGACTTACCACCTTTTGCCTTGGACAAAGGTAAAGGGAAACTGTTGGTCATTTTTTTTTCTTTTCAGTTCTGCCAATGAGTTCGCCAATGGAGTAATCAAAATAAGAATTACTCTTTTCGAGGAACAAATCGTTGTTGTTGCCTCCCCACCCCCACCTATCCTACTTTCTGCCATTTTTGGATTGATTTTAGTTCGTTTATTCCTAGGATTTTTGCCTCACCTTTGTTTTTAGATTCAGTGTTGTTTGCGGAAATATCATTTGCTTCTTGTATGAATGAAGTGTTGAAACTTAACTCTTGTTGCAGAGTTAATGAAATTGGAAAATAAAAAGATCGAAAGAAGTACGGTGGGAGAATGTAGGCGGATAAACTAGAACCACCTTCTGGCTTTTGGCGATTCTTAGTCCTGAAGCTGAGTAAAGCAATGTGATTAAATCGTAGGCTTCTGTTTTTAGGAAGATGTAATAACTTGGGCATTTTACCACCACAGCGATTGCTTTCAAAGTTTGAACCTAATTGTAATAAGCACGATCTTTACTAAAAATGTTAGTAGGATAACTGTTTTTATTTGGGAATGCTTAAATTCAAGAGATGTTTAACGGTTATTCTGGTAATACTGTTTTCTTTTAGTTGGTATAAAATCGTGAGTAGTTTAATTCTGTCCTGCTGCTCAAAATGGTGGCTGTTGTGGGAGGTGTTGCTTGTGACTATGCCATCTTGGGTGATGATAAACTTGTCCCCAGCCCATTTTCTTCCTTGCAAGATAATAAAATTGAGGTGATGTTGAATTACAAGTTGAGAGCTTAAGGACCCATTCTAAAAATACTGTGGAAAAATTCATCTTCCAAAATCCGTATACTCCCATTTTGTTGATGGAAAAATAGAGGTAACTAATTTTACCTTAAATTGTTACAGCTATCTAGAGTAATCTTTAAATAACTTATATTCTAAAAAATAAACTTGTGGTTTCTAAGTATTAGCTGGTATATTTCCTAAGGAAATGTAAGCTGATCAAAGAGGTCAAATTTGTATGAACAAAAGAAGTGAAAAATCATTGTTACAGGTGAATAATTTGGGCTCTTTGAGATGATCTCTCTTTTGATTGGAGCGATTCTTGGAAGTGACACTACTGTTTTTAAACTGCATGCTGTTTGAAATACTTGCAACATGAATGAATATTTGGAATCCATATGCACATTTTTGTAATTATCCATACGGTTTTTACTAGAAGTTCAGTAGGTAGGTAACAGATGATAGTGACTTTTTAACTTCTTCCCTTGTAATCGTCTCACATGAGGTTTGTTTTTACATGGTTAATGCAAATTGTAACTTAAAGTTTTCAGTAGTTATCAGAAATTAAAATTAGTCTTTTTTAGGCTTCTAACAAATTTGACACATGACAGTGCAGAAACTCAATGAAAACATCAGATTCATGTATGTATGTAATCTCTACACCTAACATGGGGATCAAACTCACAACCGCTAGAAGGAGTCCCAGGGCCCCTGAAAACATCAGTTTTAGTTCAAGTATAAATAAATAATTTTTCAAATTAATTAATTATTTATTTTTTGCTTAGGTGATTTTTAAATAACAGTTTATTGTCCTGACAGTTTGAGAAACAATCCCTTGGTTAGAGTGTATGATACAATGGAAGACCCTCCTTAAACAGAACAAACAAAAAACCAATTCTGATGCTGAATTGTATTTGTGTGGCCGACTGGAAAGGCCCTACCATCTTAATTTACTGCTACTTTAAAGGGTAAAAATGATGCATAATACCAAGTGGTAGAAGTTGTATATCAGCTTTTTTAGGAAACCAGTTTTCAGCTATGGGGAAAGATCTTGTTTTATCCTTGATCACCAGCCTGAACTCATGGATTTATAGAAAATTTAGGAAGTGGAATCCTCAAGGACTTGGCTTCTATTTATCTAGAGTGAAGTAATCTCTTAGATAGGTGAAGGGCTGGGAGGATTCATGCTGTAGTTCTGCAAAAGGTCAAGATCTCCCAGTTACGAAACTGGTCCCTAAAACATGGATAGTTTTATTTTTTCTCGTAAGAAAACTTTTTGCTCTGTTGATCAACCTTCAGTGTACTGGGTTTCTTTAGGGATTCTGTAATCATCAGATGGAAAATCTGTGAATGTGTAGATAATGCTTTAAGTTTAGAATTTCTGGTTTGAAAAATAATACCGATGTTATATAAACCTTGAAAATTATAGCACATGTAGGTAAGAGAATTAAAAATCCCCCATAATTCCACCACTAAGAGATAAAAGCTATTAACTGTTAACATTGTATCCTTCCACTCGGATAAAAGCTATTAACTGTTAACATATTTAGAAATTCCCAAATATGCTCACAATGTATTTGTGGCTTAGGTTAGGTACTGTTTTTATTTTTCAGAGGAGGAGATTGAAGTATAGCTGGACAACAGGAGGTTAATGAAACTGAATTCAGTGGTTGGTATTATTAAGAGCTCCTAGTCAACTAGGTGCTTAACTTCGAACTGGGAGATTACCAAAGAAACTCCTAATTCCTTTGTGTCAGAAGATTATCTGTTAATATTTCAGAAACATTTCATTTAAATAAAGTATTTTATAATTGTTTAACATTCCAGTGGGTTAGGCTGGTTAAGTTTTTTTCCCAATTTGAGAAGTGAAGAATGGTGAATTGACCTCTGCAAAGATTTAATGCTGATTTTTTTTTCCCCTCCTTACCAGGTGCTCCTTACAGTAAATGTAGTGTCTTGATCAAAGTAAGGGAAGGGAGTGTGGAGTCATTTGAAGAGTCTGGTCTGGAGTTATTCATGATGGGTATGGGGTTGTGGGCAGAAATCCCATCACAAACATTTTGGGAATATTTTCCTCTAGAGAAGAGACTGTGGTGCCTCTAGGTGGCTCTTTGAAAATGGTCATGATGGTTTGTGTATTAGCAACGTGGTAAAAATAATCTGATTGTCAGTGCCTACTCTTTTCCCTGAGCTTTGTGCTGTTGAGTACTGAATCCTTTACTTGCTTCTTACTTGGCTCTCCTTCCTGGTTGTGGTTGTTCATAGGTAAAGTCTCTCACCTAATGAACATGATGATCTGGGGCCAGTATCTTTAATTCAGATTCCCGAATTGCACCCTTGGTGTTTCCTTGGATCCAATCCCTTAATCAAGGTTACCAAGCCATAAATTTTTATTTTTTAAAAATTTTCAATTTTTTTTTAAGTACTTTCTACACCCAACATGGGGCTCGAACTCATATCCCTGAGATCAAGAGCCCCATGCCCTACTAACTGAGCCATTCAGGCGCCCCCAAGGCATAAATTATTCAGCATGAAAATAAGAACCAAGAATTGCTGAGAGTAACTTATTAGTACATCTTTCATACCAGCAGTTCTTGAGCCTGGGCCTGTGGATGGGCTATAGGAGATTTAATAATGTTGGTGTGCATATATGCAGTTTGCTTGAGGAGAGGGTCCTGTTGCTTTCATCAAATTCTGAAAGAGGTCCCCAACCACACAAAGGTTGAAAAGCCCTGAGCTAGATGAAAGAATGAGTTAACCTTGAATAGGGGAACCAGAAGCCTAGTTTATGACACAAAATGCACTAGACTAGGAGTTAGGAAACTTGAATTCTTACTCTAATCTCCACTAACTAGCTCTGTGACCTTGACAGGTTGGAATAGCCTAATGATAAATGACACTTGCATAGTAATTGGTACATTTTTCCAAATGTTACCTCATTTATTTTATTGATTGATTGATTGTATGGATTGTGTTTATTTAAAGTAAGCTCTACACCCAACCTGGGGCTTGAACTCATGACCCTGAGATCAAGAGTTGGATGCTCTACCAACTGAGCCAACCTGCTGTCCCCAAGTGGTATCTCA